CCTTCTGATAATTTGAATTGAGCGGTCGGGAGTAGGCTACCACCCAAAGAGGTTTTTAATAGAACGAGTGCCTCATCATTCGCGACAACCCCCCCAAAAAAAAAAAAAACAACACAAAAAACTTATCAACACTGATGATCTATTAAAAGTACCGCCAAAGAAATAGTACAGGTACGTGCAGGCCTACAAAACTGTCAGTTGTATGCTTTATACACGTATATGCCTACCGTAGGCAGCCTAATAAATAATATTATGTCCTGGGCGAGTCACGTCATGCTCGACAGATTAATTTAAAGGCGTGGTGGATTGAAAGCTGACATGAAAAGAACACCCGTTTGCTTTGCGAAAAGCAAATCAAGCGAAGACCAGATAGCTTCTTGATGGGGTGTGTGGAGTTGAAAAGAAAGCACAGACGTTTCGAGCATGTTGTTTGTTTCGCTCTCTTTATTACATGATGATACATGTTGCACAACACTAATTTAAGTAGGCCCTGGTAGGTCTATCGTATTCAATCACACACTTGACCAATTGCTCACTCACTGGTTCATTCTAATTAAATCGTCTCTTTATTTTCTCAGTTATTGAATTGTATCTCATTGTCACTACATGTACTTTACATTAATTTTCTTTCTTTCGATTCCAAATTATGTTAAGTTCAGCACGCCCCTCTCTCTCTCTCTCTCTCTCTCTCTCTTTCTGCCCCCCCTCCCTTCTGGATAAGTGAAACTAATTATCTTAATCATGAATGCTTGTCCTTAAATATACCCTTGGTCATACTATTTGGGCAAACAATTCTCAACTTCTACTTCTCGACAAAATGTAATATCAGATTTTTTGACGGATGCTTTTTTGTTCCCCAAACGCTTTTAGGTGGCTGATTAATTCCTAGGAAGCTATTTTAATTACTCGTTCTCATCAAGTCGAAATACGCTACTTAGTGTTTCCTGTACCGGAATATCTTATATTTCAAATAGGAACAAAAATGAGCCTCATCTGGGGGCGCAAGAGATAATCAAGAGTCATTTTGGACGAGCAAGTCATCTCCTATTGGTTTTGAAACCGTGGGCAGCTCGTGAATAGCTACGCATTTGGCACTGTGATTTTCCCTGATGGTTATAATTAAGAATTGTGAAATCCAGTAAGTAGGGGTTTTTGGGTGGAGGGGGCGGG